CACAATAAATCTAGTTACCATCTGTCACCTTACAGAGTCACAAAAAAGTTATTTTTACCTCAAATCTTAAATGAGCAGCCAACACTGTCAGCCAATCTACTACACTTCCCTAAATCTCCTTCAAGAAGTTTTTCAAGGCAGAGGTGCCTAGGTGGTTCAGTTGTTAAGTATCTGCCTTTGGCTCAGGTCTTGATCTCAGGGTCCTAGGATGGAGTCCTGAATGGAGCCCCACCCCACATCAAGCCACACCCTGCATTAAGCCCCATATCCAGCTCCCTGCTGAGCAGGGAGTCTGCTTCTCCCTCTCCCTCTGACCCAACCCTCTGCTCGTGTGTTCTCTCTTTCAAATAAATAAAATCTTTAAGAAAAAAAAAAGAATCAAATGCATGTTTAAAATAAAAGGGGCTTTTCAAGGCAGCAATTTCATCTCTTCACCTCACTACATGTTCACTAAGGAAACAGACGCAGAAGGAGCACTCCCTGGCTTTTCCAACCCTAGCTCTGCAATCTACTAGCAGTGGTATCCAGATTTCCTTCCCTTGCTAATAGTAGTGTCGCAGCTCCTGACTCTGGCCTATTTCTCCCTTTTATACTGAATTTTTCTCTTTTTTTTAAGATTTTATTTATTTATTCACGAGAGACACAGAGAGAGAGACAGAGACACAGGCAGAGGGGGAAGCAGGCTCCCCATGGGGAGCCTGATGTGGGACTCAATCCCAAGACCCCTGGATCATGACCTGAACCAAAGGCAGATACTCAGCCGCTAAGCCACCCAGGTGCCCCTGTACTGAATTTTTCAATCTCTTCAAATACTTAAAAACTTTGCCACTGTTAAAGTCCTCTCCTTCTCTGGCTTTATCAGTTTCTTCTCTGTACTGGATCATACCTATCTGCCCAAAACAAGCCTTAATGTGGCCATTCTTAAAAAGAAATGAACACAGAAAAAAGAGAGAGGGAATGAGATAGATCGAGCCCTTGGGCCCAGAGCTCCTTCCAACCTCTACTATTTTTTTCTGCTTCTCTTCCCTGCAAATTCCCTCCAGAGTTGCCTATATTTCTGGGGTCCGCCTTCTCAACTCCCCCCACCCTCACCTCCAGCCCTTCTCACCACTTTGGCTCTTCTTTCCCACAAGTCCACTGAAATTTCTGCAATCTCTCCCAGTCCATTGGTCAGGTCTCCACTCTCATCTTGCCCAACGCTCAATACAACTGGCCACTCTCTCCTTCTACAACCTCATCTCTTCTTGACATTTTGGTGTGACCACCCTCTTTGTAGTTTTCCTCCTGGCCCCCAGTGCTTTTTCAAGCTTCCCAGCTGGATCTCCTCTTCTGGATCCCCAGGACACAGCTGAGAACTGACCCTCTTTGCTTCTCCTTCATCTCACTCTTCTACTAGGTGATCTTATCTCATCCAGGACCACAGATGTACTAGTGACTCCCAAATTTATAGCTGTAGTTCTGACTTGCCTCTCTGCTCGACTTTTATACCCATCGGGTGACATCTCCACTAAGATGTCCAAACTTAAACTTAATATATCCAAAGCAAACTCTTGTTTTCCCTTCCAGAGACCTTCTCCTTCTGCAGACTTTCCCATGCCAGTGAATGGCACCACACACACCCCCACCCCAGTTCCTCAGCTCTTAAACTTAGAATGAGTCTCCTCCCTCCTTCACAGCATCCCATCCATTAGCATCAATAGCTGTCTCCACAGATAGCCTGAATCCAGCAACTTCTTCTATTCTCTGCTGCTTCAGTCTTGTCCACCACCTCTCTCCTGGACAACACCATCCTAATAGACATTCCTGCTTCCCCTCCTGCTCTCATAGTCCAAGCTTTCATGGTGGAATGATCTTTCAAAAGTATAAATCAGATCATGTCACTTCCAAGCTTAAAACCCTCTAATGAAGGGGTGCCTGAGGGGTTAGTTGGTTAAACATCTGACCCTTGATTTTGGCTCAAGTCATGGTCTCAGGGTCGTGAGTCTGAGTCCCACATTGGACTCCGTGCTGGGTGTGGAGGATGCTTGAGATTCTCTCTCTCCCTCTCCCTCTCCCTCTGCTCCCCTCTCCTCCTGCTCGCTCGTGTGCGCACTACCTCTAAGGAAAAAAACTTCTAATGGAACACTTTATCTGTAAATAGATATTTTTCCTATCTCTGTCCTCCATAAAAAACTAGAAACAAAGACCAACTCAATAGCAATGAGCAGCCCAGCACCCAGTTTGTTGTTTGGAAATGTCATTTCCTACTAAAAGTAACCAGGGCTTTTGGAAATGGCTGTTTCCAAGTCTGAGACAAAAAATGTACAATGTGAGCCAGAAATATCTTGTCATAACAGAAAGTAAGGAACCTATCAATGACTACCAGGGTCATGACAAAAAGACTTGGAAGTCAAATCAAAGAGAATCTTGCTGAGGAAAGATGGAACAATCTTAGTTTTAATAGAGATAACAATTGCAATGGATTGAAATCATCAAAAATGCTGCAGTTCATAATTTATACTGAAAAACATAATAGATCACCTTTGAAGGGTGATAGGAAACAAATTTGCTATCTTAAAAGCTGATAACTTAATAGAGAAAAATCAAGCATGTATCCTGCCTTTTCTACATTAACTGTACCACTGGTGAAAAAAAAAAAAAACAAGATTAGAGGAAGTATCTCTTTTTAGAAAGATTCCAACTGATAAATGAAAAAGAAATTATAGAATATAAATATCACCATGTGGCACCATTCACTGAATTAACAGATACAGACATTTTGTGTATGTTGCTACTAAGATCAAAGAAAAACAACCAGACACAGGGACGCCTGCGTGGCTCAGTGGTTGAGCATCTGCTTTCGGCTCAGGGTGTGATCCCAGGTCTGGGGATCAACTTCCTGCGAGGAGACTACTTCTCCCTCTGTCTATGTCTCTGCCTCTCCCTCTGTGTCTCTCAAGAATAAATAAATATAATCTTTTAAAAAAGAAAGAAAGAAAGAAAGAGAGAAAGAAAGAAAGAAAGAAAGAAAGAAAGAAAGAAAGAAAGAAAGAAAGAAAGAAAGAAAGAAACAGACATCAATGTGCTCTCTGATGAAAGAGTACACTACAATGTAGAGTATCACCAAAGTGATCCAAACCTGTGTTAGATTATGTTTCTGGATCTAGGTGCTAACTCGATCGAAATAAGAGAGGGCAGAAAATGTTGAATGAGTTCAACACTGAATATGCAGTCAGCAAAAACAGACTGAAAAATTCTACACACCATAAGGAAAAGGAGATTAAGAGGAAATCCACAGATAAAAAGACTGAAAGTGTATTTTAAGAAAACTTTTTAAAATGCATCTAAGGGGGCACCTGCGTGGCTCAGTAGGTTAGGCGTCTGCCTTCAGCTCAGGTCATGATCCCAGGGTCCTGGGATAGAGCCATGTCAGGCTCCCTGCTCAGCCTGTATTCTGACTCTCCCTATCTCTCTCCCTCTGCTTCTCTTGCTTGCTTGTACTCTCCCTCTCTGTCTCTCAAATAAATAAATAAGATCTTTAAAAAAAATTAAAAATAAATAAAATGCATCTAGGGATGTATATTTGGGTGATAAAACTGTAAAGACACCCCAAATCATAATTACTATGAAAGTGAGGGTAGTGGTCCCTTTCAGAAGAAAGAACGTGGTTAGGTAGGGGGAGAGTCCAAGGAGGGCTTCTGGGGTTGCTGCAAAGTTTTATTTTGTGACCTGGATGGTGAATACAAAGATGTTTGCCTTCTAATAATTAAGCTATACATTTGGTTTGGTTAACTTTTCTACATCTGTGTTTTATTATGTGATTTAGTGGGGGGGTGGGTAGTACAAAAACAAAAACAAAACAAAAACAAAAAATCTCTAACACAGGGACTGGCCATCTTTTTCCAAAGGACCAGATAGAGAATATTTTAGATTTTCCTGGCAAAAGGCGAATCGAGGATGTTATGTAGGTACTTACATATAACCATTAAAAATGTAGTCATTAAAAAAATGAAAAATAAAAAATAAAAATGAAAATGTAGTTATTTAGGGCAGCCCGGGTGGCTCAGCAGTTTAGCGCCGCCTTCAGTCCAGGGCGTGATCCTGGAGATCCAGGATAGAGTCCCATGTCGGGCTCCCTGCATGGAGCCTGCTTCTCCCTCTGCCTGTGTCTCTGCCTCTCTCTCTCTGTGTATCTCTCATGAATACATAAATAAATAAATCTTTTAAAAAATTTATAATAAAAATTAAAATTTAGTCATTTGAAAAATGAATATGGACAAACAAGGCATTGCCAAACTGAGGCTCCACTAATCACTGAATTCCTGATACCAGGGAGCTCCTATCCATGGAACCCCGCCATCCACACCCCCACACCCTCGCAGGTCCTTGCGGGCAAGGCTCTGCTCCCATCCCCTGCCCCTGCTCCCCTCAGCCTCCCCGTCTCTTAGCAACAGGAAGACGCAGGTCCCCACCTTGACCCAAGCTGAAGCTGGTGGCAGCAAGCATGAACACGGGAGGCCCCCCACTCCCCCCCAGCTCCACCCACTTGCTCGAGGGAGAAAGGGGAGAGAGGCCAAGAACATCCAAACCCTAGGGCCCTGCCCCAAGCAAAAGCCTGTGTCCTGACTCTTGCCACAAGTCCTCTACCACAGCCTTGTCACTCAGGGTAAGGTCTCCTAGGCTAAGGCCAGCAAGAGCACCACCCAGGAGCCTACTTGATACACAGAATTTCAAGCTTACCCAGACCTACTGAGTCAGTGTCTGTGTTTTTAACAAGATCCCATGAAATCCCTACGCATACTAACATTTGACAAGTGTTACTTTCACAATCGAGATAAGTCAAAGCCATAAATAAATAAACAAAGCTAGAAATACCTCTTATGGGAACTTTTCACCTCAACACTAAAAGACAGCTTTTATGATGAGGAAGTTCCCAAAGCTGAGTTCCCTATGATCAGTAAGAGTAAAAATTCCCTTGTGTCTCCTCTGACCATCAGTCCAGGACAAAATGCATCACTGACCTCAGGTTCCTGCTCTCAAAGCCAATGGGGAAATCAGGAAGGACAATTTCCATTCCCAGAATAAGGGCGTTGCTTCTCACAAATGAGGCAGAAAGAGAAGGCCCAAAGAATGGGCGTCTTGGACCTGCCAAGATAAGTAAGCCAAACAATAAGACAAAGGCAATCCCAGACCCAGGGAAAGCAGCACCCAAACCCAGCTGAACAGCTCCCAGGAAACCGACCAAATTTTGCCTTTTACACCCCAAAATGAAATTCTTACAAATACTAAGACAGATGAAAAGTACTGCTGAGGGAAGCTCCCAGGTCAGTAACTTCCCAGTCGGGTGAGTTCTCTCCATATGTATGTTATCTTGAGAAACTGCAGACCTTAAGCTTCACTTCCTCATCAGAGGACAGTGGCAAATCAGAACATCACAATTCTAAAAGACCTACTTGACTTCACTGGGGAAAAAAAGAGACTGACTACCAGAGAGTGTCACATTTTTTTTTTAAGATTTTATTTATTTATTCATGAGAGACACAGAGAGGCAGAGTCACAGGCAGAAGGAGAAGCAGGCTCCCCGCGGGGAGCCCAATGCAGGACTCCATCCAGGACCCCAGGATCATGACCTGTGCTGAAGGCAGATGCTCAATCACTGAGCCACACAGGTTCCCTAAGAATACCACATTTAAAGAAAAGAGAACGATCGTTGTTTAGTGGCAGGGACAAAATAGTAAGATGGAGGAAAAACCCTTCTTCAAACAGAACTCAAGAAATACATTTCCAAAAATCCACAATACATGCTATAACATGGGATAAACCTTGAAGCTATGCTAAGTGAAAGAAACAAGTTTCATGGGATGCCTGTGTGGCTCAGTGATTGAGCGTCTGCATCCTGGGATCACTTCCCACATCAGGCTGCTTCTCCCTCTGCCTATGTCTCTGCCTCTCTCTGTGTCTCTCATGAATAAATAAAATCTTAAAAAAAAAAAAAAGAAGCTAGTTACAAAAGACCATATATTGTAATTCTATTTATATGAAATGTTCAGAATAGGGAAATCTACAGAGACAAAGTAGATTAATAGATGCCTAGGCCTGAGAGGGCTGGGGGCTGCTTAACAGGTAAAGGTTGTAAGGTTTCTTTTGGTGGTGATGAAAGTGTGCTGAGAATGCTCATGGTAACAGATGATGACTCTGATGTACTGAAAGCCACTGAATTGGTGCACTTTAAATGGGTGAATTGTAAGGTATGTGAATTATATTTCAATAAAGCTGTTTGGAAAAATAATCCACGGCTCCACACCGGATTCACGTTTGTCCAAACACAGAGTCCGTGTGGCACCTGGGTGGCTGTTGGTAAAGTATCTGACTCTTGTTTTCACCTCAGCTCATGATTCAGGATCGTGAGATAGCCTCGAGTCAGACTCCACACTCAACACACAGTCAGCTTGACATGCTTTCCCCTCTCTCTCCCTCCCCTCTGCTCCTCCTCCTGCTCTCTAAAATTAATAAACAAAATCTAAAAACCTTCTGGAAAAAATCTGAAAAAGAAAGGTGACATCAGTACTGGTTGGAGGCCCCAGCTAGATTTTCTCTAGCAAAACACTCCCATCTCAGTTTGGGGAAGAATTTCACAGTCTTGTCTCAAGATCATCAATCTCATAGAAATCCCCATCTGGCTTTGGGTTCCTGTTCCAAAAACATTGGAAAAACCAAAACAGGCAAAACACACTTTCAAAACAACTCTTTTAATTTACATGGGCAAGGGAAGAAACAGAGGATCTTGGGATGGATGCTACGCGCTCTGTCAGAATACAATGTTGATAATTCACTATTGCTATAGAAACTCAAGTCCAAAAAAAGACTACACATTTCCCAAGGAAACCATGTTTCCAAAGTCCCTAAAGAACATAACTCATAAAGAAGGATCAAAAGACCACCACGGTGGTTAGCTAAGGCCTTGGAGGTGACCACCCTGATTTCAGCTCTGCGGCCCCCGTTGGGCTTTTTTTCTCTTCTTAACCTGTTTAATTTCCCAAACCAAGAGCAGAGGTTATCATGAGAAGCCCCATGAGGACCCTGGCTGTACCCTCAAGGGCCTGTGCCGGCTTTGCGGTCACAGCTGTTACCATGGAGAAAAAGACAGAAGCAGGAGGTGGAACAGGTATCTCTCTTGCCCTAATGCAAAACACACAAAACCCTAGGGCATTGGGAAGCCGAGAGAGAAATCTCTGCCGCTGTTGGTCAACAGCTTCTTCTTGCACGGACAACCTGGATTCTCTCTAATCCCCAGGCAAATCAAAAGACCAAATGTTGGGACACCTGGGTGGCTCAGCGGTTGAGCGTCTGTCTTCGGCTCAGGGCCTGGTCCCGGTTCAGGGATCGAGTCCCACATCTGGCTCCCCACAGGGACCCTGCTTCTCCCCCTCTACCTGTGTCTCTGCCTCTCTCTGTGTCTCTCATGAATAAATAAATAAAATCTTTTAAAACAAGTAAAAGATCAAATGTTATTAAGCAATTAATAACGGAGCAGATGCTGTTTGGCCTCTGTCTCCACTAGACTCCTGTCCCAAAGGGCCTGCTTTGGTCCCTAAGAACAAAAGGGCAAAGGGCTTTGGCAAGTCTCTGGAAGGGTGCCTGGCACATAGCTGATATTCAATATGTATTTACTGAATGCTTCTTGAATGAATGCTGGTATTACCTCTCTTGGTACTTGAGCCTTCCTCCCTCAGCCTGGAAACACAAACACACGCAGGCAGTTGAATCCCGGCCTGTTCACTGCAATTCCAGCTGCAACCTTGCAAAATTAATGAACCTAACAATTACTACTACAATACAGATCTCTGGAGAGCAAGGGATTTTGGTTAATGTTGTGACTATATATATACCTTAAGGGCCTAAAACAATGCCTGGCACCAGCCTCTAAATCAGTATTTGTTTGGGGCACCTGGGTGGCTCAGCGGTTGAGCGTCTGCCTTCGGCTCAGGGCGTGATCCTGGGGTCCCGGGATCAAGTCCTGCATCGGGCTCCCTGCGAGGAGCCTACTACTCCCTCTGCCCACGTCTCTACCTCTCTCTCTCTCTCTCATGAATATATAAGTAAATCTTAATAAATATGACAAATTAATTAAGGGCCTACTACATGCCGGGCAGCTGTGCTAGCTAGGCCTACTCCTGCTGAAGTCCCCTTCCCAGACACTTCCACCCAGGAGGCAGAGGTTGCCTCGAGTCCTCCTGCCGCCAGGGGCCGCTGTAAAAAGCGCGCGGCTTCCTTCCCCCGTCACCGTACGTCCCCGCGGTGTCCTTTGACCCCGTGAAGTCACTGCCCCGAGTTAAGATGGCGGCGTCGATGGCCTCGGCCGCCGGGGGACTGCGGCGGGCCCTTCGAAGGTCGCCCCTGTGGGGGGGCCCCAGCCGCCGGCCGCTCTCATCCGAGCCCCCTCCGGCCCAGGCCACCGCCGTGCGAGACGCCTTCCTAAGCTTCTTTCGGGACCGCCATGGCCACCGGCTGGTGCCGTCCGCTTCCGTGCGGCCCCGCGGCGACCCCAGCTTGCTCTTCGTCAACGCCGGCATGAACCAGGTAGGGGCGGGGCTACCCTGCGCGGGGGCGGAGTTTGTGAGCTATCGTGGGAGAAAGGCGGCGCGGGATTGGGCGAAAGAGGCGAGGGGCGGAGCTCGTGGCTTGTGGGGGAAGGGCCGCGCGTGGTTGGGCTGAGCGATGCCGGGGCGCCGGCGTGGGCTTGGGCAGGGCTAGACTGGGGAACGCCAGGGTTTGGATGGAGTTTTAGGTCCAAGAATGGAGGGTGTGGTGTGTGGCGTTCTGCGGGGGCAGACTGGTGGGGGAAGTCTGGCTTCATCTATTCATGCTTTAAATAAAGAGAACTGATTCATTAAATAAATGTTTATTGAGCACTTAATATGTGCTAGGCTGTGTTCTCTAAGCGTTTGACTTGGAGCACCACTTACTGCCTAGATTTCTTTGTCTTCCTCTGTAAAATGGGCGAGCAGGGTGGGGGGAATAGCTTCACCTTCAAGGCTGTTAAACGCTGACTTTGTGAAGTGTGCCCTGTGGTCTGGGTTTTATGCCATTTATTGGGTGTGGTTTGAAGAAGCTGAAATGGGGGATGTTCATTCAGTGTTCTGTTTCCAGCCAACACACACCTCCTTCTTCTGCCTTGCCTGATTTACTAGCAGGAGGTCTCTGTTTCGTGATTTATTTACCCTTGGTCTGCCCTACACACACCAGAGATGGGTGCCACCACGCTCCCAGATTGCCCCCTTGTCCAAGACCCCACTGCACTCTCAGGGGCACAGCCAGCCTTCAGTCTGAACACCCCACTCCCCGCCTTTCCCTTCTCCTGAGGGAGTGAGCACTGGGACCTTCATGTGTTTCCAGTTCAAGCCGATCTTCCTGGGCACTGTGAATCCACGAAGCGAGATGGCAGGCTTCCGACGTGTGGCCAACAGCCAGAAATGTGTGAGGGCTGGAGGACGCCACAACGACCTGGAAGACGTGGGCCGGGACCTTTCCCATCATACCTTCTTCGAGATGCTCGGCAATTGGGCTTTTGGGGGTGAATATTTTAAGGTGAGTCTCCAGGATGCCCTGAAGTTAGGAAAAGGTCAGTTGTCAGCCAGGCAGGGCCTCAGGATTAGTCCTGTCTCCATTCCTAGTGTCTCCTTAGACAGGACTCCTACTAGACACAGAGGCGAAGTGACACACGTGAACATGTGTGGTAGGAATGTGTTTCACTTCCCTAATTGGATTGTAAGCTCCTTGAGGACCAGGATTGTGCTGCTTGCCTAACGGCTAATCAGTAATTGTATGAATAAATGGTCAGACAGAAATACTAAAATGCAGGAGTTAGGAATCATCCCAGGGTTAGGGTGGAAAGACAATTTCATGAAGAGGGTGAGACTTGAAAGAAAGGATTTAGAAGAGGGGAAGCTTTCTAGGCAGGACAAAAAAAAAAAAAAACTCAAGCAGAAATGGTCATGGTTTGTTCTGGAAACAAGGTGGGCAGTGCAATTTTCTCTAAAGCTGAGGGCTAAAGTCTTGTGGCTTGATTGACACTTCAGTGGAGCCATCTTCTTACCCATTTTCCTCCTCCCAACCCATGTGGGTTTCCCCTGCAGGAAGAGGCTTGCAGCATGGCCTGGGAACTGCTGACTCAAGTCTATGGGATCCCTAAGGACAGGCTCTGGGTCTCCTACTTTGGTGGTGACCCCAAGGCAGGGTTGGACCCAGACCTAGAGAGCAGGGACATCTGGCTCAACTTAGGGTAAGTCTGCCTCTGCCCCTTCTGTCCATTTCTGGAGGGCACAAGGACTGGCAAATAGAGAGTACCAGCATCAGTCCTCAGAGTTTCAACATATCCTAGCAGACTGGGGTCAGCCTTGTCTCTCCTCTTGATGAGCTTGATGGAGAGGCTCTCATGGCAAAGAGGGTTCTGGCTTTCAGGTTTGTCTGTCTTCCTACTACTCATCCGGCTTTCTTCTCAGGGTGCATGCCAGCCATGTGCTTTCCTTTGGACCACAAGAGAACTTCTGGGAGATGGGGGACACTGGCCCATGTGGGCCCTGTACCGAGATCCACTATGACCTGGCTGGTAGAGTGGGAGCCCCCCAGCTGGTGGAGCTTTGGAATCTGGTCTTCATTCAACACAACAGGTAATGGAATGCTGAAGCAGGAGGAAAATCCCTGGCCAGAAATGGAAAAGGCAGTAGCCAAGAGACTTTGATCTGCTTCTTATTAAAGAAAAACAAACACTTAAATGGTGCTTATTGTGTGCCAGGCACATTGCTAAATACTTTTCAGATAATAATTGATTTAACTCTAGTCTGTGCACTTAACAGTGTTTGTTTGTTTGTTTGAGAGAGTGAGAGCACACAGGAACTGAGGAGGGGTGCAGAGGGAGGAGAAAGAGAGAATCTCAGGAGAATCCCGGGCAGGCTCCATGCTCAGCATGGATCCCAATGCGGAGGCCTGATCCCATGACCTGGAGTCAGATGCCCAAAACCAAGAGTCAGATGCCCAACTGACTATGCTCATAACAGTTTAAACTAGTCATTGCTCCTCTCAGGCCTCTGCTGTTGTATCACAGGATGAAGCTGAGCTTCATGATCTCTAAGATTTTCCTCCAGCTTTGACGTGTCTCTTCCTCAGGACAAAGAATTCTATCCCAGAAAGGGGACGTGTGGGTCCCGTTGAGGGGCAGAGGGGTGAGGGTGGAGATCACCCTTTATGAGAAAGTACACACAGGAACAAAGGCCATCGCTATCTGTCTTCAGTGGGAGGGGTGGATACTGCCTTCTGGTTCCTCCCACTCTCAGCCCCCTCCTCATTCCTCCACTGCATTTGGGCATCTGCCTCACCCCTGAAATCCTATGTGGGGCCTCACCTTGCACACCTTCCCTGGCCAGAGAGACAGATGGAAGCCTGCAGCCCCTGCCCCAGCGGCACGTGGACACGGGAATGGGCCTGGAAAGACTGGTAGCTGTGCTGCAAGGCACACCCTCCACCTACGACACTGACCTCTTTTCCCCGCTGCTCAAAGCCATACACCAGGTGAGCCTGCCTCTTCCCTTCCAGAAGCTATTGCTTTCCGTCTTTGTTGAGTACTTCACGTATTCCCTCATGTGGAAACAGAGACAAGCCAAGGATACCAGGGTCAAACATGAGGCTGAGATTCATGTTTGTTACCTGATACTGCCCCTAACTCCCTCCTTCCTTCCTTCCTTCCTTCCTTCCTTCCTTCCTTCCTTCCTTCCTTCCTTCAAAAAGTATGTGTTGAGTGCCTACTTTGGGTGAAGTCCTTTGTACTTGGCACGGGAGAATAATAGTAAACATAAAAGAGATCACAGAGATTATGTTGTAGCCTAGGAGATAAATAATAAATGTGTGAAAGAACAAATGGCAGATTTAAACAGGATTGCAGATTGTGACCAGGCAGTACAGGTGGGTGATAGTAACAAGGAGAGGGGGATGGGTACAGAGGAATCTTAGACCCGGTGTGTGGGGAAGGCTCACCAAAGAGATGATCTTTGAGCTGAAACCTGAAAGAGGAGGAGCCAGCCACAGGAAGCTCATTCCAGGTAGAGGGGACAGCAGGTACCAAGGCTGTGAGGCAGGAAAGGAACACAAGGGTGGCCAGCTAGCTAAAGTAGAGTCACGTGGGATGTAGCTGGAGAATCTGTCACTGAGATTTTGCTGTGTAACAACCCACCTAACACTTTGTATTTTAAAATAATAAGTTATGTAGCATGAGTCTGTGGGCTAGCAATGCTAGCTGGGTTTTGTTGGGTCATTCTTTTGGTCTTCTGTGAGTTCATTCATAGACCTGTAGTCAGCTGTGAGGAAGTTCTACTTCCAAGGATCGGCTGGCTGGCTGGCAGTTCACGGCATCGTGGGTGACCAGGCTGCACGTCGGTCAAGCACCAGACTAGCTGGGGCTTGTTCACGTCATAGCTCAGCAAGGTTCTAAGAAAAAAAATAGAAGTACACAGAGGCCTTTTGAGGCCTGGGCTCAGAACAGTGTTGTGTCCACCTCATTCTGTTGGCCAAAGGGAGTCACAAGGTTAGTTAGCCCAGATTCAAGGGGTGGAGAAACAATTCCATCCCTGGATGGGAAGCAGCTTTGGTCACATTGTAAAGTGGCAAGCACACAGGAAAGGGAAGGATTGTGGACATTTTTGAAACAGTCTCCCATAGAAAGGAAGGCAGAAGTCAAACCTCCTGGGGCCTTGAAGTACACAATGGGATTTTTCTTCTAAGTGCAGTGAGAAGTGCTCTAAGGTCGGGGGCGGGCATGCCACTCTCGCTGTGTGGAGGATGGGCTGGAGGGAGACCTGAGAAGAAGAGTAACTGGGAGGCTTTTGCAGAGTCCAGGAAAGAGACAGTAGGGCATGGTGTAGGTGGAAGTGGAGAAGGGTAACTGATTTTAAAGATCTCACAGAGAAGGGAGCAGAAGGCCCCAGTGATGGATTGGATGAGGAGGGGAAATAAAAGTCAAGGCCTGCTCCCTAGTTTTTGACTCTGAGCAGTGTGGTGGATGGCAGGACTGTGCAGGGAAAGGGGGAA